ATAGTCACTTTTTTTAAATTGAGATACAACATACCATAAAATTCAACTACTTAAAGTATACGATTCAGGTGCATGCGTGTAATTCCAACACTCTAGGAGGCTAAGGTAGGAAGGATCCCACATTTGATCACAGCCTGGGTAATTTAGCAACTTAGGAGATCCTGTCTCAAAAATAAAAAAATAAAAAGGGCTGGGGATTTAGCTCAGTGGTTCCCCCACCTGCTTTGCAAGCACAAGGACCTGAGTTTGATCCCCAGTACCCACCCCCCCAAAAAAAAACGGGCTAGAGATATAGCTCAGTGTGAAAGCCACTGGGTTCAGTCCCTGTAATACACATACACACACACACATTATATAATTCATTGGTTTTTAGGATATTCACAAAATTGTGCAGCCGTCACTACTAATTCCAGAATGTTTTCATTACCCCATAGCTATTACTACTCATGTCTTGTTCTGCTTTTCCACCAGCCCTGGCAACCATGAATCTATTTTGTCTCTAGATTTCTCTATTCTTGACATTTCATATAATTGGAATCATACAATATGTGGCTTTCTGTGACTGACTTCTTTTACCTAGCAACATACTAGCAAGGGTCATTCTTGTAGCATGTATCATTACCTCATTCTTTTTCTTTTTTTTCATTTTTAAAATTCTGGCAAAAAACATAAAATTTATCATCGTAACCATTGATAACTATACAGCTCACTAGTGTTATGTACATCACATTGTTGTACAACCAACCTTCAGAATTTTCTTCTTGCTACACTGATACTATACCCTTGAAACAACTCCCCATCTCTCCTTCCCCCCATGTCCTGACATCGTCATTCTACTTTGTCTTTATGAATTTGACTACTGTAGGTACCTCACATAGGTGGAATCATACAGCATCTTTTGTGATTGAACATAATGTCAAGGTTCATCTGTGTTGTATCATGTATCAGAATTTCCTTTTAAATTTTTGTAGTGCTGAGGATTGAATTCTGGACCTTTGTACTAAGTTACATCCTCAGCCCTTTTATTAATTTAGAGACAAGGTCTTGCTAAATTACCCAGGGTGGGCTAGGACTTGTTATCCTCCTGCCTTAATCTCCCATAGTGCTGGGATTACAGGTATGTGCCACCAGGCCCAGCAGAATTTCCATTTTTTTTTCTATTCCAACCTTTTTTTTTATCCTCATTGAGTTTATTGGTACATTTTAGGTATACTGTACAGTAACATTCATTATTGGGATCTTGTACCTTTACATGACAAGTCTTGGTTCTCATGTTTTCCCCTTGTACCTGCCCTCCCTTCACCCCCTCCTCCCCTCCCCATTTTCAAACATTTCCATTTTTTCATTTTCTCCTATTTTTTTCTTTCCCTTATTACCTTTCCCCTACCCTTCCCGCTTTCCCTACACCTTTAGCCCTTTTCTTCCTATTTCACATTGTGAGTTATCTCATTATGATCTTATATACTATTATACTTTATTCACAGCAGAGAAACTATTTGGTATTTATACATGTGTGACTTATTTATTTCACTTAGGAGTATATCCTCAATATGTATCCATTTTTTAATGCTAATATTCTATTGTACATATATACCACATTTTGTTCATCTGTGGAGGGATACTTGGGTTGCTTTCCATCTTAGCTATTATGAATAATATTTCTAAAAAAGTGGGCATATAAATATATATTTGAATCCCTGTCTTCTCTTTAGGATATATGCCTAGAAGGGGAATTTCTAGGTTATATGGTTTATTTGTTGGCCCTGCAGATTGAACCCAGGGCCTTAAATATGCTAACCAGCTATTCTACCACTGATCTACACACCTAGCCCCTATTTTTAATTTTTGAGAAGCTGCCACACTGTTTTCCATAACAGCTGCACCATTTTACATTCCACAGAAAGTACATGAATGGTCCAGTTTTTCCACATCCTCACCTACCACTTGTCTTCTGTTTTTTGTTTGTTTATTGGTACTAGGGATTGAACTCAGGATCTTGCTCTTGCAAGGCAGGCAGTGGAACCACTGAGCTCAATTCTTAGCCCCTCTTCTGTTTTTTGAGAGCCATCCTAATAGGTGTAATTGTAGTTCTGATTTGCATTTCCCTAATGATTAGTGATATTGAGCATCTTTCCATATGTTTGTTGGCCAATTATGTATCATCTCTGGAGACATTTCCATTTAAGTCTTTTTTCCATTTTTAAAAATTCGAGATATGTGTGTGTGTGTGTGTGTGTGTGTGTGTGTGTATGTGTATGTATCTCCCGGATATATATCTATCTCCTGGATATTGCCACTTATTAAATGATATTTGCAATATTTTTCCCATTCCCACGGGTTACCATTTCACTCTGTTGATTGTGAACATTGATGCACAGAAGTTTTTAATTTTGGTATAGCCACCCCCCTTTTCTGGTACCAGGGATCAGGACCTTGAGGTTGCAAGGCAAGTGTGGCACCAATGAGCTAAATCCCCAGCCTCCAGCCCATTTTGTTTTAATAGGAGATGTATTTTATTTTATTTCATTATAGTATGAACACTTAATGAAATCTCCATTTTTTACTTTTGTTGCTATGCTTTTTGTGTCTTGGGTGTTTTTGTTTTTTGAGACAGGGTCTCAGTCACTGAGTTGTTCAGGCTGGGCTCGAACTTGCAATCTTCCTGCCTCAGGTTACTAGAGTGCTGGGATTACAGATGTACAGATAGTTATGATGTATTAAAATATAATTCACATAAAATAAAATTTACCCTTTCAAAGTATATAGTTCAGTGGGGTTTTTTGGTTTTGGTTTTGGTTTTGGTTTTGGTACCGGGGATCAAACTTGGGTCCTTGTGCTTGTGAGGCAGGCGATTATTATTTTTTTTTAACAAGTTGTATGTAGTTGAACTCACAGGGATCTTCCTGTCTCAGCTTCCTGAGTGCTGGGATTACAGGCATGTGCCACCATGCCTGGCTTAGTGGTTTCTCGAATATTCACAGAGCTGTACAGTCATCACCACAACCTGATTTTAGGACATGTTCATCTTCCCAAAGACAAATCCATACCCATTTGTTGTCACTCCCACTCTTCATCACCACCAGCACTGGGCAAACCCTAATTGACTTTCTGCCTCTTTAGATTTGCCTATTCAAGAGATTACTAATATATATATATATATTTTTTTTTGAGACAGGGTCTCACTATGTAGTAGTTGATGCTGACCTGGAACTCACTATGTAGCCCAGGCTAGTCTCGAACTCACAGCGATCCTCCTGCCTCAGCCTCCCGAGTGCTGGGATTAGAGGCGTGCGTGCCCGGCCCTAACTTCTTAAATTCTAATGAAATTAATTTTTACTTAAAAATACAAGCCGGGCGTGGTGGCGCACCCCTGTAATCCCAGCACTCGGGAGGCTGAGGCAGGAGGATCGCTGTGAGTTCGAGACCAGCCTGGGCTACATAGTGAGTTCCAGGTCAGCATCAACTACTACATAGTGAGACCCTGTCTCAAAAAAACCAAAAAAAAAAAAAGAATTTAAGAAGTTAATTTTAGAAATTTAAGGATTTCTTTTTATGTATCAAAATGCCACTATCTTTTGCTTTTTGAGACAAGGTCTCACTATGTAGTTTAGACTAGCCTTGAACTTATTATATAGCTCAGTATGGCTAAAAACTTGGGGTAATCCTGCCTCAGCCTCCTGAGTGCTGGGATTACAGACAAGCACAGTCATGCCTGGCCAAAATACCACATTTTATTTATTTATTTTTGGTTGTTTTTTTCTTTTTTGAGACAGGGTCTTGCTTTGTTCAGGGTGGCCCTGAAATCACTATGTAGCCCAAGCTGGCCTCAAACTCATGGTGATTTTCCTGCCTCAGCCTCCAGAGTGCTGGGATTACAGGCATGCACCACCACACCTGGTTTACCACATTTTAGAAATTGAATTTAAATATTTTACTTCCCTGTCATGTCTTTATTTTCTTATTTCGAAAGCAAGGCCTTGCTCTATCTCCCAGGCTGATCTTGTACTCTTGGGCTCAAGTCATCCTCCTGCCTCAGCCTCCTGAATTGTTGGGACTATGGGCATACACTACTACACCAGCTTGCTGTAGTATCTATGTTGTCAGTGCATTTTGGGCTCCACTGGTAGGGTGTTGATTATAGTTTTGCTAGTATGATTTATGTCATTTGGGACACCCTCTTCAAATGACTGCCATCTAAGCAGGCCTAGACAACAATGGATTGGTTTTCTTGTATCCACTTTGGACATTTCCTTTATTATAGCAAGTATTGTTTTGTTTTTTTCTAAACAGGTCAGGAATATCCTGCTATAGTAGAATTTGCACCTTTTCAAAAAGCTGCGAAAAAGAAGACTAAGAAAAGAGATACTAAAGTTGGGACTATTGATGATGGTACAGTATGGCTCTAGTTATATAATGATTTTGCTATTGAGTTTTAAAGAAAATAATTCTTTGTGAGAGTTAATTGCAGCCCAGTATTTTAAGATAGGAAATATAGAGAATAAAGTTAATAAGAAATGTTCCAATGGAATCTTTGCATAGTTGTTAGAAGGTTTCCTGCAGAGAGTTTCTGTTCTATTTGGCTAGTAGTATTTCATTTCTCCGCCATTGAGCAATATATTGTGGGCTACTGAGTAATAAATCATCATGGATTTATTGATTAGAAGACTGGGTAAAATCAGATGTTTCAAAGTATAACAGTTGCTCTTTGAGGAGACTTAAAAGAGAGAGGTTTGAACTCTGATGGAAGAATGTCCATACCTAAGTAACTTCCTGTAAACCAGTTGAAGTGGTCAGTCCTGTTTTCTAGGCTTTGAAAACATAGATAACTGCATGCAAAGTAACTATGTTGAAAAGAAATACTGTGACTGAAAAACTGAAATATAGATGCCATGTAAGGTGAACCAGCTTCAGATTTTTTGATCTCAAACATTCTGTTGGACAACTTGCATGACTCTTGTTATATTGGATAAGGACTTAGCCCCAATATTTTATATCAAAAATTGATATTTTAGAATAGTCTAGTTTGAATTTCTATTATTTGTTACTATAACAGATATTTTAGTAACCAGTAAAGAATAACACAGCTGTTGATGGTATCACAGGTTTAGATATGGAAGAGAGATTGAGTGACATGCTCATCATTGTGTAGAAACAGTCTAATGTCTCAAATGTATATCCCTTTTTTATGTCAAAGGTGTAGTGGAGAACTCCAGGAATTACCCTCACGTCCAGGGCCACATCTAGGATTTACCCTAGTTTATCTTTCTGAAGCACCTGATATTCCTATGTTGAGTTTACTTAAAGTATACCCATGCAAAAATTGCTTGCATGCAATGCTAATATTCTCTGAAGGTGCCGTAGTTATAATTTCGAGTTTTCCCATAAGTGTGACTCTGGAATAGTAGGAAAGTGACTTTTAACAGTAAACCGTGTAACACCTCTTACAGGTCTGTTCTAATGTGTGATGTCTCATTTTTCCTGACCCCCACATTAATTAGACTCCCATATGGGGTATCATTAATAGCAGTTCCAAGAGTAAGTGACCAATTAAGTGCTAGTATCTTGTGCATTTGGTTTATTTTTCAGTTTTCCATGAAGGAGAAAATTATTTTCTTTGATAAATACCTTATATAGTATTTCCTTTGTGGTTTGAAATTTCTGTTTTCTGATTCCTTAAACAACTATATAGATCCAGAATATAGGAAATTTTTGGAAAGTTATGCCACAGATAATGAAAAAATGACATCTACTCCAGAGACACTGTTAGAAGAAATAGAAGCCAAAAATAGAGAATTAATAGGTAAGTGTACAAAAAGAATTAGAGTAATGGCTTTTTCATCAGAATCCCTAAATCTCTCTCACTTTTCTCACTTGATGGCTTTCTGACTCTAGTCACTTCCTTCCCTGAGATTGTTTCTTATACTAGAAAATACAGGTGATGATACCTGCCTCACAGGATTAAGAAACTGCATGGATAAAGATGGAACAAATTTTCAGTGACCTATTTAGTGTCACATAAATACAAGTATTAAAAAGTTTAAAGATTGATGAATGAGGCATGCTTATACAGTGGTAAGTGTTTGAAGATCGATTATTTCCTAGTAATAAGCTCACATATCTTTTAAAAATTGACCTAAAAATATCAAAAAATGAAATTAGTTACTGCAAAATTAAAAATGTAAGAAATGCCAGCATGGATGTTGGTGTAAGTAGTAGGTTATCACTACTCCTACCACCTCTAAACAGGAGAGTCTTTGACCCAGGATTTCCAGTCCTAGGAATTTACCTTAAGGGCATGTATGTTTGAAAAGATGATTATGAGATAATAGTACTGTTAAGAATGTTGAAAAGTGAACTTAAATATTTTTCTAAAACTATATTCATGAGTGGATGCACAAGATAAGCCCATATCTGATGACTTCCTTAGAGTAAATTCCCAGAAGTGGAAAGATGGGGTCGAAAAGAGTGGATATTTTTAGGCTTTCCTCTAGTTTCTTTCCAGTTAAATAAATTTATACTCCTATCAATAAAACAAGGGAATGTTCCTTGCACTTAATTCTTACTAACTAAAAATTACTCTTAAAATTATTACTTTAATGTGAGTTTCTGCACTTCTTCAAAAGCATTTTATTATTTTTTCTTCCCTTTTTATTAGTATGTGTTTGTGATATGTAATAAATGCAGTCATTGTGGGGAATTAATACATATACATACTGGATCTTTATACTTAAAAAGCAGTTTAAACCTGTATTGTTGTAATGGAGTATTGTAAAGCTTCTTTTTGAAGCTACAGTTCTGAACTAAGGTTGTAGTTTTTCCATCTTGGGTGGGTGGCAGGGAATATCAGAGGAATCCTATGTAGGGCTTGATAAGTATTATTAATAATCTGTTTACATTTATGTAGCTAAAAAGACAACCCCACTTTTGAGCTTCCTGAAAAACAAGCAGGTAAATCTTTTGTTTTTACAGTTCTCTCATTTTTTTAATTTCACTAGTTCACATTCTATAAACATTTTAAGAGCAGTGGGATCTTGGAGGAGAAATAGCTGCTTTTTCCCACGATTATTCCTTAAAGGTTTGGCTGCTTTTGTCTTACTGTGGCACTCTCCTTCACTCTGTGGGACAGGGGTTCACTCTGCAAACCTGGAGCATCCTTAGCTTGTGCCAGAGATACTTTTGATATTCTGTGAGCTTCTGGAAACATAGCAAGATGGCAGTGGAAGGCTGATTTTAGCAAGTTTTGATCCTCATTCTTTTTTGTTTGCTGGGTGGGGTGAAGGTTAAGGAGTTTACACAAAGTAGGAAGGAAGGATGGTCCAATTTAGTGGGTGTCCATCATGCCTTTGGGATTGATTAGGTTTTTGATGATGGTTATTTCGTTTGAAGGCTTATGTTGATGTTTCTTTCTAGAGAATGAGAGAAGAGAAAAGGGAAGAAAGAAGGAGGCGAGAAATAGAACGGAAAAGGCAAAGAGAAGAAGAGAGAAGAAAATGGAAAGAAGAGGAGAAACGTAAAAGAAAAGATATAGAAAAGCTGAAGAAGATAGATAGAGTTCCAGAAAGGGACAAATTAAAGGATGAACCAAAGATTAAGGTATGAATATAATTGAAACTGACTGCATGTCGTTGAAAACTGCATGTATCTTTTTCTCTATGCATGTATCCTGTGTTTGTGTAAATGAATTTTTGTTTTGATTTTTGGCCTTTTTGGGGAGGAAGTGTACAAATAAAAATTTTCATTTATACTAATAGTATTCTTTTAAGTTTAAGATTATTTAAAAGGATTAAGTAGTTTGTATGATGTTAACATTTGTCAATGCAGATCTGGGTTTTTTAAAAATGCTTGCTGTTTGAATTACTAGTCTTAGCTAATAGTAAATGAGGGCTTAGGGCTGGCTGGCATGAATTTTGGGTTTTATTCAGCTTTTTTTCCTTCATAATTGATACATAAAGTTGCCTCATCTGTTTGTTTTCCACTGTCTTCAGGTACACAGGTTTCTGTTACAAGCTGTGAATCAGAAAAATGTAAGGACCAAGTACATGATACAGAGAACCTAGTATCATGTCACAAACACAGGTCTTAGCTGATAAGTCCTTTCGGTGGTGGTGGTGGTAGTGTTACCTGTTGAAAACCCCTTCAGGCTGACTTGGGTCTTCTTAAAAGCTGAGCTACTTAAAATTCCTCCTTTAAAAGGAAGCCAGGGGACTTCCTGATGCTCTGTTGTGTACCCAGAAGCTTCAGCAACATACAGCCAGAGGACAACCAAGCCAATATAGCTTTTTCTCATCTTACATGTCTCATAACTGGCTGCTTTGTGGGAGAACTAAAGATAAACATCCTGCATTATGTGCTTTTTCCTCTTATATGACTCCCACATTGTCTCCTTGCATCTAGCGGGGAATCTGAAGTGCAGATTCTGATTAATACATTGCATGTAGGGAGAAGAAACATGTAGAAAGATCCCAACCATGCTGCTTCTCTTCTGAGGGCATGGCTTGGGCAGCTCTTGCTCCAGTGAACCTTCTGAGGAAGTACTAGTACCTAGTACTTCAGAAAGTCAAAGAACATCTCACAGAGATGGTAGCAAGTCACCTTTTTTTACCGCCTGAAAACATAGCAGTTTTTATGGCTAGGGTTCCCTGTGTCTCTGTGGAGCCCAGTTATTGGTGATAAGAGGTTTAGAGAAGAGGGGAGTTTCCCATCTTAACTCCTTCCGGCAATCCATCATGCTACAAGAGATTTGGCTTGCTCATCCTAATGATCACAAGGCAGATGGTAGAGCCAGCCATCACAGAGACATCAATCAGTGTTCTTATTAGAGTAATGAACATCTTGGCTTCTAATACAGATGTTCATTGGAGAAGTAAGAACACTTTAATGAAACCTGCACATGGTTTCTCACTTGACACTGGTGACTTCTTTGTGTCCACTTAGAACTCCCATTTGCAGTGGCTGTCTGTGTGCTGAAACACTTCATGCTTAAGTCTTGTGCTTTGCCTTTTGCTTGCTGACTGGTATGATGCCTTCACCCTGAGATCAATCTTGATACTTTCACTCTGAGACTTAAGATTCTTCTGTTCTGCCCAAGAATCTCTCTGAATATTCAGCACTAATTGGGGAACATTCTAGAGAGATTTATAACAATGATGTGAAGAATGGCATTTTAAACGTGTGTGTGTGTGTGTGATGTTAAAAATGAAATATATATATACGTGTGTGTGTGTGTGTGTGTGTGTGTGTGTGTGTGTATGGTATCAAGGAGTATTCTTAATAGAGATGGAATTTTATCATTCTATTGTAAAAAGGCATCTGGATTTTTAAATCAAATGCCAAGTAATTCTTGCTATTGATCTTTACTAATAATATAATGGTACTGCTATGTGCATGCCCACAATCCAAGCAATTTGAGAGGCTGAGGCAGGAGGATCACAAGTTCAAGTCCCATCTGGACTATTTAGTAAGACCCTGTCTCAAGAAGTACAAAGGACTTGGAGTTAGCTCAGTGGTAGAAAGCCCCTGGGTTTGATCCCCAGTACCACACACACACATAGATGTTATTCTCATGTTGAGGCAGAATTATTCTTACAGTGGATCAGTTCTTTGGTGACCAAGGTGTTTGTCATTCTAAGTACATACACATAAAAATAATCCAACAGTGGGCTGGGGATTAAGCTCAGTGGTTCCACCTCCTGCTTCGCAAGCATAAGGTCCTGAGTTCAATCCCTGGTACAAAAATAATAAAATAATAATAATAATCCAACAGTAATGATCTGCTTAGAATTTTAAATGTGTAGGATATTTTCCCATCAAGTCATATGGACATGCTGGTTTGCTGTGGTAGCCGACTTAATAGTTCACTTGAAGGTTGACCATTTAAAGCCAAAGGGGTCCCAATCCCAATCCCATTGCCACAAAGTGATTAGACCACTTCATTTGGGTGGATAACATTTTCACATTAATAGCGTCTTTTTAGTAAATCACTATTCTCATGTACACAGTTATTCACCTGGAATTTTAAGTGTACCTACAGAGATATAAGGTCTGTTATAAAGATTTAGTGTATTGGTTTCTTTGATAGAATTGAAAAACAATGTTCCATTTTTTGAAATAAAAATAAACGTGTTTTCTTTAAAGCTGCTCAAGAAACCAGACAAAGGAGATGAAAAAGAATTGGATAAAAGAGAAAAAGCCAAGAAACTGGACAAAGAGAATCTGAATGACGAAAGAGCCAGTGGGCAGAGTTGCACACTGCCCAAGCGTACTGATGGCGAGCTTAAAGATGAAAAGCTGAAGAGGTCAGTCAGTAGTCAGGGCTCTTGGGTGTGCTTTACTACTAGGTGCTAGTGTCACTGCCATATCCTCAACTTGGACCTGAATTAAGGTAAACTGTTTCATGCAGGAGGGAGGAGGGAAGCCAGGAGAGAAGGATTTCAAATACTTAGTGTCTTGATCTTGGTGAATGATTTGGGGGTTCTATTGTTTTCTAAAACATTAGTGTTTTTCACTCTGCCATGAAAATCCAGCCTGATTGCAGCAGCCGAGTGAGAATGACGGTATTCCTGCATTACAGTCACAGGGTATTCGAGGGTTCAGTCTCTTGTTTTTCATCCAGACCTGAAGATGAGAGTGGCAGAGACTACAGGGAGAGAGACCGGGACTATGAGCGCGAGCAGGAGCGCACACTCAGAGAGAGAGAGAGACTAAAGCGTCAAGAAGAGGAGCGCCGCAGGCAGAAGGAGCGCTATGAGAAAGAGAAGGCTTATAAAAGAAAAGAAGAAGAAATTAAAAAAGAGAAAGAAGCACTTCGGGATAAAGGAAAGAAGAATGAAAGTACAGAATCAGTAAGCACAGCGGAAAAAACTGAAAAGAAAGAGGAAGTGGTTAAGAGAGATCGCATAAGAAACAAGGTGCTGCTTTTTGTTAAACTTGCTTGTTTTCATGAGGATTTTTTTCTTCCTACAAAAGTAAAGGAAAAAGTCAGCTCACTATTATTGTAGAACCTTTTTGGGGTGGGGTGGGGCGGTTCTAGGGGCCTCTGGCACTTTACTACTCAGTACCTTACTGAGCTACATCCTCAGCCTCTATTTTGAAATTTTTTAAACAGAAAATTACAAGTATCTTTTTTTTTTTTTAGTGTTGGCTTGGTTCTTTTATTGACTGATGGTAGAAATTTCAAACATTTACAAAAGTAGAAATAATAGAGAATAATTTGATGAAACCCCACGTATCCATCACCCAACTTCAACAATTATCCACTCCTGGCCAACCTTCTTTCTTCTCTACCCCATTCCTACGGCCACTGGATTATTTTCAAGCAAATCCTAGATATAATTTCTTCCTTAAAATTTAATCTATCTATTTTATTTATTTATCTTTGCAATCGGATGTTGCTATGTAGCTCAGGCTATCCTCAAACTTGAGATCCTCCTGTCTTAGCCTCCCAGAGAGCTGGGATTACAGACCTATGCCATAGCACCTGGCTCTTTTCTTTGTGGTGGTGCTGGTAGTGGTGGAAATCAAACCCCGTGTCTTATACATGCTAGGTAAGCACTGTACCACTGAGCTAAACCCCAGCCCAAGTGTCTTTTTCTTAACCTCACCAGCATTTCATATCAAAAAAACTCACAGTGATTCCTTAAGATATTATCTATTCAAGTGTTCACATTTTCCCAATTATTGCCTTAAATTGTCTTTTAATCTAAACAAGTGTCCTTTCTTTTGTTTTCCTACCTTTTGTTGTTGTTGCAGAAACCAATTTATACTGTAGTGCTTCTCATGTTTTAGGATGGCAAATTACATCCTTGCAGTATCATTGAACGTACATCTTCTGTATTTCCATTAAAAGTAGTAGTTAAGGGGCCAGGGATTTAGCTCAGTGGTTCCACTGCCTGCTCCAAAAGCACAAGGACCCGAGTTTGATCCCTGGTACCCCCCACCCCCAAAGTAGTAGTTAAGGGCTGGAGTTGTAGCTTAGTGGCAGTGTTTGGGCTTAGCATGCAGGGGCTCCAAATTCAATTCTCAGAACCACAAATGAAAAATAAATAAAACTAGTAGTCATATTTAGGGCAGAGGTCAGCAAACTTTTCCTGTAAAGGATTCAGTGTTAAGTATTTTAAGGTCTGTGGGCCATATGGTCTTTATCACAACAACTAAACTGTAGGAAAGCAGACAGGATGAGCAAGAGTCTGGGAGTATTAGCTCAATAGTAGGGCATTTGCCTATCAGGTGTGAGATCCTGGGTTTAATCTCCAACACTGGGAGGAAAAAAAAAAAGATGAGCATGGCTGTATGACAGTCACAGTTTATTTACAGTCTGTAATCCCAACTTCTTGGGAAGTTAAGACAGGAAGATCACAAGCTTTAGGCCAGCCTGGCCAACTCTGTGAGACCTTATCTCAAACAAACAAAAAAAGGCTGGGGTTGTAGCTCAGTGCTAAAGTGCTCCTGTTTTTGGTCTCCAGTACTGCAATAAAACAAAACTCAAAACGTTTCATTTACAAAAACAGCTGGCTTCTGATCTAGAGACTTAAGTATATTCAGACTCAATCTTTGGCAAGAATACTTTGTTTTGTTTTGTACCGGGATTGAACTCAGGTCCTTGTGCTTTTGAGGCAGGTGGTAGAACCACCGAGCTAAATCCCTGGCCTGGCAGGAATACTTTGTAGGTGGTGCTTTACTTCATATTGCATTGCATCAGGAAGGACATGATGTCCTTATCTTTGTGATGCTATGATTGATCAATAGCAGTTGTGTTTTGGTTATATACTAATAGAATGTCCTCTTCTTGGAGATACATGCGGAAATATTTAGGGTTGAAGGGTCAGGATGTCTGCAACTTTTTAAAAGGTGTGTGTGTGTGTGTGAAAAGATAATGTATATACATTAGAAACAGAAAGTAAATGTGACAAAATGTTAATGACTCTAGGAGAAAGATACGTGGGTATTCCTTGCAAGTTTTACAAAACAGTTCAATAGATTTAAAAATGTTCAGGTTAAAAAAAATCTGATTGTTAAGTTCAGGTATTTTAAACCTGGTATTTTAGCCTTTCTCCTAATGACTTTGCATAGATTCATTATTTCACTGGGGTGTTGGAAAATGGTGAAACACAAATTCTGCCTTTCCATTTGCATTTATTAGCTGATGTTCTGCTATAAAGAAGAATATTCTCTCATAAACTGTTGGGCTAACCTAAATGCAGTTTACACAGGAAAAGGGAGATAAACACTTAATTCTTTCCCATTATTTACTTGAGTAGGTAGAGTTATGTGGATATCAGGGCAACATCTAGGGGTTATCAGTGTGTTTCCCCTTGTTTAATCTTTAAAGACTCATGGATTAACTGGGAGTGATGGTGCATGCCTATAATCCCAGCATGTAGAAGGCTGAGGCAGAAGGATCGCTGAGGCCAGCCTGGGGTACATAGTGAGTTCAAGGGCAGCCTGAACTACCTATTGAGACCCTGTCTCAAAGAAAAAAAAAATTCATGGATTTACAAATCTTTAGTGAATTCTAATTTGTTATTGTCAGTTTTTACCCTTGATGTTCACATTGTCCCATCTTTGCACAGTGGGAGTCCCATCATCTATGTCTTTAAGTACCATACTGGAGTCTCATCTGTTTTAATATTTTATCTTTAAATATTTTTCAGGAATTATTCAATTAAGAATAATGCTTTAGGGCTGTGGTGTGGCTCATTGGTAGAGAGTTTGTCTACCATACATAAGGCCATGGGTTCCATTCCCAGCACCACAAAGAAAATAATGCTTTGGGGATGGCTTTCATGAGGCAGGGTCAAAAGGCTCATGTAATTTTTCATTGAATTCTTTTGAGAATGTGCCAAAAGGTTGAATTTAGACCTTTGTGCACGCTAAGCCCATACTCTACTACTGAGCTACACTCCCAGCCCCTTTTTTGTTGAATTCTTTAAAAAGGTATATAATCCTGGTGTGGTGGCAAATACCTGTAATTTCAGCACTCTGGAAGGCTGAAGATTACAAATTGAAGCCAAGCCTGGCCAATTTTGGGACTTCGTGAAACCCTATCCCCAAATAAAAAAATAATAAAAAAGGGCAAAAGGGTGGTGGTGGGGTGGCTAGGGATGTAGCTGAGAGGCCATGGGTCTAATCCCTAGCACTGCAAAAACAAAAAAAGTTTCCCATTTAAGTTTCCCATGATCATACTGTCATAAACCAAACATATTACTTGAACTGAGGGGTGAGTAACCTCAGTTTATTTAGGAATCTGAGACCTAAAGTGTCACCTGCTGGGTGTTAAGTGGTTGTGTCTAAATTAAAAAACCTGTTTGTAGCCAAGTGATGGCCCACCTTTAGTCCCAGCTACTCAGGAAGCTGAGGCAGGAGGATTATTTGAGCTCATGAGTTGCAGACCAGCTTAGGCAACACAGTGAGACCCCCATTTCTAAACAAACAAAATGTTTGTAGCACATTATATGGGGCCTGAGCACATAATTTCAGGGAAGTTGCCACTTAAAGAGTTTGTTTTTAGCCGGGCATGGTGGTGCACACCTGTAATCCCAGCACTTGGGAGGCTGAGGCAGGAGGATCGCTGTGAGTTCAAGACCATCCTGGGCTACATAGTTCCAGGTCAGTCTCAACTATGTAGTGAGACCCTGTCTCAAAAAAACAAAAAAACAAAAAAAAACAAAACAAAAAAAAGAGTTTCTTCTTACTCCTAATTTTTTTTGGCAGTGCTGGTGTTCAAACCCAGGGACTCATATATGGTAGGCAAGCATTTGTGTGGTTTTAAAGTAATTTACCTATGGAGTACAGATAGGAGCTAGATGTGTTTCTAAACATTCAAGCTATAGGGCCAGGGATTTAGCTCAGTGGCACCGCTCCTGCCTTGCAAGTGCAAGGTCCTGAGTTTGATCCCCAGTGCCAAAGGAAAAGAAAAGCTACAGGAAACATTCAAGCTAATTAATACATCTTCAAATGGTTAAGAATATTTGGCAGTAAAACTCATAGTTACCCTAGGCATCTGGGTATAGTGGTGCATATCTGTAATTTCAGCACTTGGAAGTTTGAGGCAGGAGCATCACAAGTTTGAGGCCAGCAGCCTAAGCTATATAGTGAGTTCATGGCCAGCCTGGACTGCATAGCAGGACTATCTCAAAAAACAAAATTAGCTAAGGCATATAAAATAATACTTACAAAATAGTTGCTTTCTTTTGGAGCTAGGGGAGAGGAAGTGGACAGTTGTCATGTACTGTGCACTCATATTTTTGGTCTTGTCTGACTTATGTGGTGGTACACATTAACATGTAACTCAGGACCAAAAACAACTGAGTAGCAACTTCATAACTTGAACATATTTCATTTTACTTCAGGACCGCCCAGCAATGCAGCTTTACCAACCAGGAGCTCGAAGCCGAAATCGACTGTGTGCCCCTGATGACAGCGCCAAGTCCGGAGATTCTGCAGTAGAAAAAAAGCAGGAAAGTGGTATTAGCCATAGAAAAGAAGGAGGAGAGGAGTGATAGATTAGAGTGGCTGTAGGTGTCCTGACTGTCTAGGCAGCCAAAGAGCACGTATTACGCACTCCAGAAGTGCCTTCAGGGCAAAGGAATAGAGAAAGAGAAAGGGTCGCTGTGCCGGTGGGATACACTGCAGAGGAGTATGTTTTGCGTCAAAGCAGGAATTTAATTGCAGGCTCAGAATTGGAAGTACGATTTCATTGTTTTTGCGATTTCTCCAAATTAATTTTACAGTGTCAGAAAAAGATGATGGTGAGGATATGCACTACCATTTGTAGGCAGGAAATGTCAAGTGAGGACTTAATTTTGTATGACAGGAGAAAAAAAAGAGCTGGCTCTAAAATCAAAAGGTGTTATTAATCCTGGATTGAATATTCTTGGTTTGAGTGGAGCAGAGTCACTTTGAAGTCTTGTTCAGATCTAGTTATTTTGCATTGTTGGTGATAACTGTTGACTTTGTGTAGTGTAGAAGCAATAAGCATGTAATTTTGGTACACGTATAGTGAAAAGTATAACATTTTCACTGATGCAAAAATTTAAATAGTTGTGTCTATATCCTGTGTCCCAAAATTTTAGGATTAATTTTATCCTTTTGTTTGCTTACATGAGCTTAGCATCAATAATATTTTTAAACCGCTCATTTTGCCTTTAGGATTTTTTCTACTAATAGTTAAAACACAGTCCCTGTTTGGTTCTTGACAATCCAGTCTTTGTTTTTATCTTAGGTCTCACGATCTTAGATGATTGCATACTCTCTCCAGGAAGGAAACCACACTGATATCTGTCTTAACTTGTCTTGTATCATTGTCAATAAATACCAACAGCACGGAAGTATGAAGCTAAGTGTGTTTATATTTGTGTGGTTCTGGGGATCAAACTCGGGGTCTCGTGGATGCTAAGAATGCCCAGTGCCACTTAACTGCATCCCCAGCCCCAAGCTAAGTGTATTTATAACTTTACTGAATAACTATTTGTTTTGAGAAATTTGATACTGAATTTGGAAAATTTGAAAGGGGATAAGTGATATTAGTTCCTGCCTTCCCTAGCCCACCAAGGAGAGGATCAAATCATGGTTCACTGTTCTTCCATAAAAACTAAAATGTTTGAAGAACATGATTTTCTTCTTGCTAGCTTCTAACATGGCATCAGTTGGCCTTTAGTTACTGCTTTATAATTCCTCAGCTTCTAGAAGCCAGTCCCAAAACCCACATAAAAAATGCCATTACAAATGATTAAAAGGAAATACTTCTAAACTGAGAGAACTAAAGTAAGGGAAAGGACAGTGTCCCAGGCCACGAGGAGGCTAAGAAAGACAGGAAATGTCTCCCTGGACTTGGCAGTATTGAGAGCAATAGTGAGCTAGTGAGAGACCATGTTATGGTGAGCGGTGAAGAGCAGGTGGGAAGGATGGGTGAGACCATTTGAGTAAATTGGTCTTGAAATCAGAGAAGAGACTGGAGCTGGATATATGTAGGAGATCATCTATTTTCAGTTTTCATTGAAGCCATGGACATAGGTTCTGTTACTTAGACAAAGAGGCAGACTCTGGGTCCAGTCTGGAGGAACACTTATGTTACTGCACTGATAAAGAAATGTTATCTACAGAGACAGAAGGAATAGCCAGAGAGGAGGGAAAAACCAGAAGACTCTGGTGTTACTTAGAGAGTGTTTCAAGAAGTAGTAAGATAGGCTGAGGGTATAGCTCAGTGGTAGAGCACTTGAGTAGTGCCAGCACCACATGTACACACAAAAGCCAGGCACAGGCTCAGCTGTAGTCTCAGCACTCGGGGCTGGGGCAGGAAGATTGTGAGTTCAAGGTCAGCCTGGACTACACAGCAAGGCCCTTCTCAACACAGATAAAAAGTAGTGGCCAGCAGGGTCTGATACTAGTGAAAAGTCAAATATGATGCCTGAAAAGGACTCAGTGATTTGCAGCTCATTAACAGCTGGAATTTTGGGGAATGGAAGCCACTGGAGTGAGAAGCGAAATAGCATATATACATATATAAAAACTATAAAAGTGTAGCCATGAAATAAAATGGAGATAGATAAATGGTATTGATGAAAGATGACTTAAAGAGAAATATGGGACTGGGGATTTAGTTCAGTAGCACTACACCTTCCTCATAAGTGCAAGGTCCTGAGTTCAATTCCTGGAACAAAAAAGAGAGAGAGAAAAGAAATACTACATAATGTAGGTTTCTTGCAAAGGCAGGTGAAAATTGAAGCCAAGGTAAAGGTCAGTGGAGCTGGCTAGAGAGAGGGACACTCCTGAACCATCACTGGCTTCCTTACCCAGCTGGTTATGAGCTTTGTAAACTCAGGCTAAGTTTTCTTGTCAGCAGCTCCCTCTTTTTTTCTATTTGCCTTGCCAGTCAAGCTCTGGGTAAACCACACTTCCCTGCCCCACCCCTTTATGTTTCCCGTACTTCTTTATTCATTCTGCAAAGGCAGACATACTAATCACAGACTATGTGCCAGGCCCTGGGGGTCAAGGATGCCAGTGGTGGTATAGGAATAGGGCACAATGCCCACTGTGAGAAGGGCTGTGGTAGGACAGGATGGTGTGGGAATCTTCTGCCCCTAAGATGCCAAGTATTGCTGGAGAAAATCCCCAAACCAGATCAACTGATGAAACCACAGGAGGGTCCTCCCTCCTGCTAAGCATGTTTTATCTTTTGTTTTTTTTTTTTTTGTTTTTTTGAGACAGGGTCTCACTATGTAGTTGAGACTGACGATGATCTGGAACTCACTATGTAGCCCAGGTTGGTCTCGAACTCACAGGAATCCTCCTGCCTCAGCCTCCCGAGTGCTGAGATTACAGGCGTGCGCCACCGCACCCGGCTTCACTAAGCATGTTTTAAATCCATCTTGAATTGACAATCTTTTCTACATTGCCACCTTTATTCTTTTTCATTATTATTATTAACTCCAGTCTTTCTCTAGTTTGTTCCTAAATTGGTCAACTTTCCATTGCTGGGTCAAAATACCCGACATACACAATTTACAGAAGGAATGGTTTGTTTTAGCTCCCTGTCCCAGAGGTTGTAGGCCATGGTCAGCAGGCTGCAAGGCAGAAACATCATAGCTGAAGGACATGGCGGAGAGAAGCTGCCCATCTCATGACAGCCAGAAAGCAGAGACACAGGGAAAGGAGCCAGAGAGCTGGGGATAAAAAAAAGACCCTTTTGGGTATATTCCTCCAGCCAAGCCCCCTCTCCTAACACTGCATTTACCTACGGACTCTGTTACAAAGACTCCACTGATGAGGTGAGCACCCTATGATCTGATCACCTTTCAGAAGCCTCACCTCTGAACACATGAGTCTCGGGGGGCATTTTTTTCAGTACTAATGGAACCCAGGTCCTTCACACCAATCTATATCCCCAGCCTTTATATTTATTTATTTATTTATTTA